ACATATCAGAAGCCACACAAGAGCATTCAACAATTTATTACAGCTCCAAGGCTTAGAACTAAGATAAATCAAAGATAGATTTTAAATTTGAAAGTAATAAGTCCTTGTATTTGGCAAGTACGTGGTACTTGGCAAGTGTAATATGTTGGGTGTTTTTCAGTGGAGGGAGAGAGGACTGCATATTTTTTCCACAGTAGGAATGCGAGCTACATATTGCTTCACTTAGAGCAAATGAACTTTTTTTCCTGTTTAGCATCTTCATAATTTGTTCCAATTCAACAAGGTACTCAAATTTAAGCCTAGGAGTAAGAACATGAAGTCAGTAGAACTGCTTGTGTCCTCCAGCTAAGGAGCATGCTCAGGCATAATGATGAATTCAGCCTTAATTAGTTTCTAATACTGCTAACCACTTCCTAAGACAAGGAAGATTGAGTGCATTTCAGCTGGAAAGTTTCAAACTCAGCAGGAGCCAGGGTTACCTTGGCCTAGCCATGAATGCCCTAAGTAATCAGCCAGTTTCATGATGAAAGCTATTTATTTTGTATTTATTTATTTATTAATAATTATTTATTATTTTCTTCTTTTAAATAAGGAGAAGAACAAGACTCCTAAGTTTGGAGTTACCCTGACATTGCTAATAGTACAAAATAAATTGTGAAGGGAAGGAAAACAAAACCAGGAAAACCCCTTGTCCTGGGTTCAGCAGTAGAAGTCATTTTTCTCCTTCTTAGTAGCTGGTGCAGTTCTGTGCTTTTTACTTTCAGCCTGGAAATAATGCTGATAAAACCAACGTTTTTAGTTGTTGCCCAGTAATGTTTACTCTGACCAAGGACTTTCTGAGTCTCATGCCAGGGAGAAGAGGAAGCCGGGAGGAAACAGAGACAGGACACCTCACCTGAACTGACCAAAGAGGTATTCCATATCACAGCACATCATACCCAGTATATAAACTGGGGGCAGTTACCCGGAAGGGTTAGATCACTGCTCGGGTTGGGCAGGGTATCGGTCGGCAGGTGGTGGGCGGTTGTATTCTCTTCCCTTGTTGTTTCCTTTATCATTATTATTGTTGGTGGTAGCAGTAGTGGTTTTGTGTTATACCTTAGTTACTGGACTGTTCTTATCTCAACCTGTGGGAGTTACATTCTTTCAGTTCTCCTCCTCATCCCTCCAGGAGCTGGGGGAGGAAAGGGAGGGAGTGAGCGAGTGGCTGCATGGTTCTCTGTTGTCAGCTGGGCTTAAACCATGACACCCCTAAAAGCAATGCAATCACACCAGCAGCAAGAATGAAGTAGCTTCCTTGTTGGTTAAAAATTCATTTAGGTCATCACATTATGCCTCTCTACCTATTTTTCTTGCAGATTAAGCTGAAGCAGTAGTTTAAATTCTGATTACTTATTGGAGGGAGTCACTACATTTGTTTAGTGGAAAGGTAAGAGAGACAAGAGGATCGGTCAACTTGGTTTTATCGACTTTGTTAATTATGTTTAGACACTGTTGTAGATACACTACAGACAGTAATAGGACATCAGGAAATGGAGGAAATGGAGCCCTCTGCCTGCACAACTCCAGGGCAGAGAAATTCTATGTCTACACATGTAAAACTACACATGGAGAGAGGAAGCAGTTTGAATGAATGGAAGGAGCAGAAAAATGGAAGATAAAGATTGCGAGTTTTAAGAGCAACCTTCTAAGCAATTTTTTTTAACTGGATGCCAAACTAATTAGAAGTTAATGAAATAGTTTTTTATTAAAACATACCTATTTTTGCATGCTGAAGTCATTGCTTACCAAAATCTTCATTGCCACCTCCTCATTTCTCATTCTTCAGGCTGTTAGGTAAATTGCAAGACCTCTGGCAGCTGCAAGCATGCATGATATTTCTTGATTCTCTTCTCTTATTCCTCTGCTATTGGGTTGTACATTTTCTTACTGTCAGTGTTCTCAAATACTTCCTCTAATAAGAAAAACAAGAGTCAGAAAACCACTGAAATAAAAAATTTATTGACAAAAATAAATGTAAGTGAATAAAGTAAGGTAAAAAGACAGTGCTACATAGACTTTAAATACAGGAGAAATCAGCTGTCTGGTGAATTTGCTTTACCAAAGCCATTAGCTTGTGTTTAAGAAGAGAGGCAAATAATAAAAATAATTAATAGAAACAGACATCACTGGGGCTACTTAAGTAAGAAAAAAACTAATGTGAATAAGTATTTGAGGGCATATAACATTTAATAATGGATACTTAAAGGAAATTTTATGTGTTCCCGGAACTGCACTTACAGCCGTTAATCCTTAGGACACCCCAGGGAGACAACTTGGTAAGAAACACTCTCCTGCTTGGTTTACAGAAGGGATCACAAGTGTGGAAACAAGATGTCATTGTAATGTGTTAAAGACTAAATAGCATTTTTATAGGAAAAGCAGGGCAAGAACTCCTGAGGTTCTAGATTTCTGTTCTACATTCATATCATCAAAAGGGGCAGAATCAGAGTGGATGGGAGACAAGCTCACACACTTATCTTGTGTGCATGCCTGGGCATTCTGTTGCCTAAGAACATATCTCACACACTGAAATCATATGGGAAAATATCTAAAAAAATATTGGTGCAATTATCAGGCTGGAAATCCATAGTTTTTCTTCATGATTTCCAATGTGATGACCAATGGAATTTTAGGTAGATTTCACAAAGTAAAAAAAAAGTTAAATTATTTTCAGAAATAAGAGAGAAGAGTCTTTGTTTGCTTATGTTTTGAGGATGAGACAAGAGTTGGCATGAACTGAAAACATCTCATATTTCCCCCTGGGCTTTTAAGTATCAGTAGTTCATTTGAGCAATAGAGGATAGAAAAGAAAATAGAATGTGAAAAAGGACAAAAGAGAATACAATCATAAAGGGGAGAAAAAAGATTTTAGCTAGTAATTTAAAATTCCCGTATCACATACATTCAAAATACACTTTTTCCCCCCAATGGACTCATATAAACAAGTCTTCATCGACCTTACCAAGATTATTGCCTTCACACAATAATTTCCTTTCCTTCAATTTAAAAATATTTTATTGGACACCCCAATTATGCACAATTATTTTTATTACTATCATCGGGTAGGAGTAATGGACCAACATGCCATTATAAAGACAACAACAAAATCATTCCTCCTTCAGACAACTTACATATTCATTTTAATGGGATGTATAAAATGTTATAATGAGAATCATTTTGTATTGCAGTGATTTTTCTTATTAAATGGTGGTAAGTACAGAACCTTGAAAGACAGCATTTTTTCTTCTAATTCTTACACCTAAAATAACTAGAATTTTAAGGCAAGCTTAGAAGAGAACTAATATAGGTATAGTCATTTTTATTCAGTGACAATTAGTAATATTTTTTGTAAACATAAGAGTTCTAGGACAAGTAAAAAGGAAAAATCTGGTTTTGATACAGCTGAGCATCCTGAATACTAAAAACTAAATTATCCTGCTATGAGTGTCAGTGGCATAAGCCTATGGACTTCAGCTTGCACCCTCATGTTAATTAAAATGATGCTTTACTGTTCCTGCACAGGAGTGATGGATTACAGTTTTTCTTGGGCAATATTCTTTATCAGATACTCTCAGACATTGCTTTTTGTATTCTGCCATTCCAGCTGATACTCCATTCCTGCAAGAAGGACAGACAAAAGACCAACCATACTGTGAAGGCAAGAAGTGACTTTTGAAATCCAGTTATGATTTGAAATATGTCCACTCATCACACTTTTCTCCTTAAAAAGAAAAGATTATTATGGTTCCTGTGAGACTATGGGCTACATGCAGTTTGAATCTATTCTGTAGTTCTATGGCTACTTCCTCTAGTTTGCATTTCTATTATTTTATGCCGCAAACCTCATAGGAATAAGCCAGTCATGATTTGCCCATATTAGCTCACAATTTACAATGCTACACATTACAGTGATAAGACCTTTCCCAGACAGATGGGGAAAAAAAAAAAAAGAAAAGACTCAGAATATCAGATTTTTTTATTTTTTGTAGTCACATATGGTATCTGAGAAAGAAGCTAATGGTGAGCTGGAAGCCATAAGCCCTTTGTTGCGCATGAGCAGTGAATCCTCCTCCTTGTCTAGGAAGATGAAATTCTATTATAGCCTTAAAATAATTTTCAGAAAGAGACAGAAAAAAGAAAAACTAGCCAAGGAACACAGTATCTGTGTGAGATAGCTTCAATTCCAATTAACTAGAGGGGAATTTGGAGAGAAGAAGAGAAGAAACCTAACCCTTAGTTAGTAGTAAGGAATGAGAAACCCTCCTGCTTACTACAAATGTCCAAGTAGCCACCCTTGTGAGGAAGTAACTTCACAGATATATTTAAGAAAACCAAGAAGGAAAATCTGCTGAGAGCAAAGAGAGAAACTCATTCGAGAGCTGTAGCTTTAATAAAGTTCAAAAAAGGTCCTATAGAAAGAGCTGCTTACAAAAACCCCAACCATCCAACCAAACAAACCAAAACCACCAAACAAAATAACAAATGAATAAAAAGTCTTATGAGGAAGAATGGGGTACTCCCCCAGCACCCATCCTACCTGTGAGGATGAGACAGTGAAAGAGGGAGCTTTAGCAGAATCCATCCTTAATAAAGGAGCAAAGAGGGCCTATAAAAGGTGAAGATCCCAGAGCATGTGGTATTGAGAGCAGCTGTGCTAGCTGCTGTGTCCCCATACTGGGTATTTTGAAGCAAGTAAGAAATCCTTGCAGTGCCAAGACTGATGCAGAACTGCATTTGTTTTGGCTTATGTTTCAGGGTGTATTTTCTGTGGGGTTTTTTGTGGGTTTTTTTTTTTTTTTGGTTTGTTTGGAGGTTTCTGGGTTTTTTGTTTGTTTAATTTTGGGGTGTTTTTTGGGGGGGAGTGGATTGTGTGTGATTTTTTGGGGTGTTTCTTTTGGGTTTTTTTCTGACTTTTATGTTTTAAAATTCATATTTCAAGAAACTTATCTCATTTTCAGCCTGAACTGAATGTGATGATGAGCACCCTCAGATTGCTCATCTGAAATGCCCAGGGCTCATCACTAAGAAATTACCCTGAGTACTTTCTTCCTTAAGAAGCAACACAGCATGGCCGAGAGAAGAGTTCCTGGAAGTGAGTATTCCCAGAAATCACTGGGATTTGTGGTTCACATCAGAAATATCCTGAAGAAGTGTGCAAGATGAAAGATCTTCCTTCATCAAGCAGAAACTAAGGAGAACTTTAATGTCTCTCTTGTTTTGGGGGGGATGGTTCTTTTGATCCCAGCACTAATTCCTCTTGGTGAAGGGGCTAGATATGTTGGGAAGTGTCAGAGCCATGAACCTTTGCAAATCTTTCTTTTCCAGACTTCTTGTACCTCCAAGGCAAATAAAATTCCTAGGTAACGTGCTTAGTGCTGGTGTCAGCAATAGAAGTTCTGATCCTCCACTCACGTAAAGCATAAGTAAAAATAAGCTTAGCATGAGCAGGCCTGGGGGAGAGCTTATAGTGCTCCTGCATAAAACCTAGGCCCGGAGCTTCACATTCACTGCCATTAGTTTCTGCAGCACTTCAGCAATATGTAATTCCTTATCCTGCAGGTGAAAGATATCTTTGGTGTCATTGCTGCTCTGTGGGCGATAAATCTCCACTCAAATATAATCCTGGGTCATGCCATATGACAGCTTCTTTACTTATTTGCATCATTGTAAGGCAGCCTGGCAATTATACAGAAAGTGTGTTTCCATGGCAACACAGGGAAACTGCAGCATCTAAAAAAAAATTAAGACTGCAGAATTACTTAACATTTTATTCTCCAAAGACTTCAGTATTCTGAGTTTAAACTTTGAACAGAAAATCATAACAAATGGTGCCTATTTCATAAATAGTGCTTCCTACGCTTTTCATCAAAGCATTTTATATTTTCATCTTTGTGGATTTATTGAGTAGAATTTAATTAGCAAAATACTCCTCTATCCCCTGTCCAGATTTTTATTTTTCTTTTTTGGCAACAAATACCACTTGATTCTTACTCAAGTCAAATACAGTAATTACTTCAGTACGGTTAATGCATAAGTCCCCTCACACACCTCCCACACAAATGACTGCAGGCAGCTCTGACGGCTCCTGCATCCTGGTAAAGCTCTGGAACAGTACAAAAGAATATCTGAGACTTTACTTTTCATAGGATGGGAAGAGCCAAGCAGCCTGAAGGATGAGAAGGGACACAAAAAGGTGAGACAGATACAACCATCTAATGCCTGACTCATGGGCTGCTACTCACTAACTCAAGGAAAAGAAACTACTCTGGATTCTAGCATAAATCACAGGATTCCTTCCGGCTTAGTAGCTCATTCAAAACTGAGGCTTAGCTATTCAAAGATGGCTCTGTCACCCAGGTCATCCAGCTACACTGCTTGTTAATGTTATGTGTCGCATGATTTGTGCTTTTAAACCTTTAGTCACATGCTGGTGATCAGGAAAGCAATGGACACTGTACTGTCTTCCCTATCAATCTGCTACTTCAGATAATCTTGTAAATCTGGGGTTTGTTATAATTTAGTGTAAAGCCATTTCTGACATATCATTGCTATAAATAGTGACAATACAATGAAGTAGACGTACAAAATTAATGCAATTCAAACAGAAAACCAAATATCACTATACGCAAGAGCGTTTTCTCTTGTGCTACTATTAGTAAATTACTTCATCTCATGAACATGGTGTTGTGCCATGTAAAGACAAAAAATGTTTAGTGGCCTAAGAATGTTTGTTATATGCTTCTTTGAACAGAAATAATTATAAAAATGTCAAAGTTTTGTGACAGCTTTCTCAAAGAGGGTAGGCAGAGAGCTCAGTCTGAGCCTTTTCTGACAATAAAAAAAAGGAATTATGTGACACAGATAAAAAATTCTTGAGAAGTCCATTAATGCAGAACTAATGCTGAATACCAAGGTAAATACTCTGGCTTCAATTATTTTCTAAATGATTCAACACTGCTAGCAGGCTACTTCAAAATCTGATCTTGAAATTCATCCCTTCCACCTATCCATCAGCATAGTCCCTAGAAAAGCACACAATAGAAAAGCACTTCTGAAGATCAGACTTTGAAAAACAAAAGTCTTGCTGTTCAGTGTCTCTGATCCACATTCCACACTAATTAACCTATATCTTTCAATTAAAACCAGATCTTGGTTCCTTAACAAGAAGTTTAATTATGTTACCTATATTGCATTTTGAAATAGCTGATAGACTTAAATTTAAGTTTTTGTTAACATCAGTAACTGATATGACTTGCAGAGATATGGTAAGGAACAGAAAATTTTTAAATGTGAAAAGCATTTGGACAAATGAAAAATACAGAACTTAGCCATTGGGGCCCACCCAGTATTATCTGTTGCCTTAATATGTACAATAAATACTGAATACAAGAATTCAAAATAGTCCAACAGTCTTGAGTAAAATTCTAGAGCTTGAGGCCAAAAATACAATGGAAAATAAAGTACATCAGTAAAAAGTCAGAAATAAAATCAGATGATCTTAAAAATCATCTTTAAAAATCAGATGATTTTATTAAAAAAAAAAAAAAAAGGAAATGCTGATTTGTATTCCAAACAATAGTTGCAATAAACAAGAACCAGAATACCAGGCATATCAAAAAGCAGAAGCAGCAGGAGGAAGAGTGGTAGCACAAGGAGATACTTGAAGTTGTCAGGGATTCTACTGACATATCTACTGACATGTCAACTGAACAGGTGAAAGTGGTAAACAAGCAGCAGCAGCTCAGTCATTAAGAAGCAAAAGCCAGCTAATGGGGAAAAGACATACAGCTATCAGGAAGCCAACTGCTTGGAATAAAACTACCACAAAAGAAAGTTGACCACCTGGCAGCAACAGCCAGTTACAGGTACAAACAAAATTACTAGAATTATTAAGTGGAAAAACCAGCAAGAGGGGAAGCCTGAAGCAAAAGCTGTATGAAGGTCTTGACCATGCTGCAGATACTACATTCACCAATTTAATTTTGACTACAGCCTCACATAGTTGCAATGCAGCTTTCACAATGAAATAGAACTGATTTCCAGGTGCAGAAACATCTGTGTTCCTACCAGAGAAAATAAGGTATCGTCATAGGAACAGGATTACTTACTGCTTCTATCTGCTTACCAATTTCTCATAAAAATGCTTAATTGAGTGATACTTCTCTTCATGGGACAGATTTCCTTTCACTCTATGGTAGTATTTCCCATCATGCCAAGCCCCAGGTACAGCTCTATGTCTAACTAAAGAGGAAGAGGAAGGAAATATGATGCAGTATCATTGGCATGGGATGTGAGAAAACAAGCAGGTTCAATTCCCTGCCCTGTCACATACTTCTAAAGTAAACTTTTACATGCTACTTTAGGCAAGTCTGCTCTTTCCAGCAGACCATGGCATGGCTTTCCACTGGGCTCTGCTAGTAACACACAAGCCTGCACTGGGATGCGCACCTGCTCCTGCAGTCACGTTGGAAGCCTTTCTATCTGTGAAACGAAAGTAGCAATCTTCCCTGTTCTATAAAAACGTGATTTGCACAAAGATACAGATGGCAAAGGCCTAGTTAAATATTAGGTCTGAATATCCTCTTTATTCACAGTGTGCAAGCTGTGTAGTTAAAAATCTAGAGAATATAGGTTGAAAGAAACGTACAGCCACCTCTACAGAAAACATACGGCTGAATTCAGACTTGGTGTAAACATAAGTTTCACACAATTTCTTTTCCTCCTTTTCATTTCACACCTTTTCAATAGCTGCAAACTATCATCAAAGACCATCACAGCCAAAGTCATTTCTGAAGCCAAGCTATGCATTTTTTAACACCATTTTATCCTTTTCCATATGTCACTCCTATTTTTGTTTCTCCTCTTCACCTGTAAGCCAATTATGTATCTGGTAATTTGCTCTCCAGTAAAGTCTGACTCATCTGTAACTGCGTAAGGACAGAATCCATGATGAGATCTCTAGGCAAGCCTGCTCAGAGGAAGAAAACTTCATATTTTCCTAAAGATAATTTTCCAAAGCATTCCACTTCTAGGAAAAACATCTCTAAATCGTGTGGAATTAGCAATAAATAATACAGTCCCCAAGGCCAAACTTGCATATAAAGAAGCCTGTTTCTACGCAGGTTTTCTTTCATGCGATATTCCCCTGTGCACTTTGCTTCTTTTTAAAGGCACTCATGAGAGGGGTATGTTAAATTTCACCATGCCTACAGTAACTACAAAATTATATCTCTCATTTTAACAGCCATCTTTCCACATTGGAGCCCTCATATTTTATTTTATTTTTTGTCTGTAAATCCAGTCTTTGACCCTAAATCAGTGTTCTCTCTGCCATTTACTTTGCCTGTTTGAAAATCATGAATATGCTTTACCTTTGCCATATGTCAACTTTAGCTGCTGAATTATTAGTCCCTAAGACAGCTTATTAAACATCTCCCACCTTGTTTGACATATTGTTATTTTTAATATATCTGGTAGTCTTTCAGCCTTTTTTCTGGAATAAGAGGTACAACTTTTGTTCAAGTAAATGTGAATTAATTTTTGTCAGCTGATTTCATAGGATGAGATAAAATTCTGAAATTAAATCCCAAGACATATGATGTGCTGCAGTCTGTACAGCCAATGGTCTTCCGTTGTACTTTCAATACGAAAGAACAATTCAAAACATGCCTGATAAAAACCTTTTCTAAGAATCATGATACTTCCTGCTCAAAGTGGGTATATATATGTTTAGAGACATTTCCCTCTACTATTCCATTATGCTTCCAGAAGCAGAAGTTAAATGTGAGAAAGTCACAGAGTGACTATCTCCCCTCCCCGTCTCCTCTCTGCTCCCTCATCACAAATCAGTACAGCTAGATGTGGTTTTTCTCCCACTTTTAACCAAGTGACAAGGGCCTGCTGCACCTTCTCCTGGCTGCAGAGCCTCTTCACTCCCTTACTCTGGGATCCCAGTGCTACATGCAGACAGTGTCTGGTGTGCTCTTTCCTACACTAGGAAGCAAGAGATGCAGGTACTGAGGCAGAAAAAGAGGGAGAGATTGAAGTGAGCAGTTCATGCTCAGTCCA